GATTTCCTTTTTCCCTCTTTCTGCTCCTCTCCTGTTTGCTCACACATGCACGTGTGTGCTCTCTCTCTCTCTCAAAATTAACTAATTAATTAAAAAAATAGTCTCACTTAAAGAACAGGCACTGGTCACTTGAAAAAAATTGGCAGAAGATAAATATGGTGATTGCATGGTAAAGCCAAAGGACAAGTTCTTTAAGTCTGGATTTGTAGATAATCACCTTCCCACACAGCCAAATATTTGGAAAGTGCATGAAGTGCTTGAAAAACAAAGTATAAGTATTCTGGACTAAATACAGTATAGAACTTGTAAGAAGAGAAAAGTCTAGAAAGGTTGAGTCAGGGGAGACCAGTTGGGTCATTGTAGTCATAGATGTAAGAGATACTGAGGACCAAAGATTATAATGGCAGCAATGAGAATGGGATGAATCAGGGATGGATAAGGAAACGAAATGGACAGGGCTTGGTTACAGACTGTTGGGATAATAGTATAGGATGACTGCAAGTTGTTGGTGATACCATTGATAAAGATTGGGAGGATTAGTAGGTATAAATTTCCAGTTATAAAATGAGTGGGGATGTAAGGACAGCATGGGGAATATAATCAATAATGTTGTGTCAACTTTGCATAATGACAGGCAATAACTAGACTTATTGTGGTGATCAGTTCCCAGTGTATACATATGTGGAACCACTATGTTGTACACTTGAAACTAATATACTATGCTATGTCAATTATACTTCAGTTTTTAAAATAAATAAAATCTACAGACCACACACACACACACACACACACACACGTTTTCCACAGAAAGACCTGAATTTGAACAAAGAAAAGCAAACACTGGGATGCTCATGACACACTAACATACAAACTGTATTGAAATGATGGCCTTTGGGCTCTTTCCAGTCTTACCCAGCTCCCTGAAATATAACCATTTAATTATACAAACCAATTTTCTATAGCTTATTGTTATTGTGAAAGTTTGCTTATGCAAATTCCTTAATTTTTATATTAAAATGGAGTTTATTCATGAAAATAAAAATGTTTCCATCTATCAAAAAACCCACAAATGATTGGGAGGATCAGAAGAGAAACAGGCAGTTTTCTGTGGCAATGGTGGGGAGGAGTGGTTGGTTAGGTAAGGAATAGGGGATTGGTTTCAGGCATGTTGAGTTTGGGGCATATATGAGAATTTGTGATTTGTGTTGTGTTGTCTTGTGATTGGCGATGCTCACCAATAAATGAGGTGAAAATGTTCAACAATAAATTAAAAATCTGGAACTACAAGTAGACCTTGAGAGAGGACTTGAAATTAGAGATTAATGTTAGGATGTTGAGCCCTTGAGAGTGGTTGAAATGTCCTTGGTAATGCATAGAAAAGGGAATGGTGCTTGGGAGGCACAAATATTTAAGGGACAGGCAGAGGAAGTAGAGACTGAGAAAGTGTAGTTAAGAATCAAGAGGAAAATAGTATCATGGAGGTCAGGAGAGATGGAAGTATGATGGTTGGCAATGTTGTATGCTATAGAAAGGCCACTTAGGATGAAGGCTAAGACAGACCCACTGTCTTGGGTATGGAAAAGCGGCTGGTGACCAATTTCTTTTGTAGGGGAATGTGATTGTATTGTACTGGGTTGTGAAGTGGAGCAAGAATGTTTGTGAATATACTGTTGACTTCCCTTTCAGAAAGCGTGATAGGGAAGACGAGCAGAGGAGAGACTTTTGGATTAGGAAGAATTGAGCATGTTGGTGAGAGAGACAAAAGAATCCATCTAGATGGAACAAGAAGGAGATCTTACATTAGTAGGGTACATTTGTGACAATTCATGAACAAATACATTATTATTAACCAAAGTCTGTACTGTATTCAGAATTCCTAAGTTTTATCTATTCTGTACCAGGACCCCCTCCAGGATACCACGTTACATTTAATTATATCTCCTTAGACTCCTCTTTGTTGTGACAGTTTCTCAGATTTCTGTTGTTTTTTGAGGTGTTTCTGAGTACTGGTCAGGTGTTTTGTGGAATATTTCTCATTTTGGATTTGTCTGATGTTTTTCCTCATGATTAGACTTGGGTTATGGGGTTTTGGGAAGAAGACTACAGAAATAAAGTGCCATTCTCATGACAGCATGTTAGGCCTCCCTGCTATAAACATGACTTAACGCTGGATGTTTTTCTTGTTCACCTGGCTGAAGTGGGTTTGTCAGATTTCTCAATTTTAAAGGTACTCTTTCTATCCCACTTGCCTTCTATCCTGAACTTTGGAAATAAGTCACTGTGAGTAGCTCCCCTTTTGGGGAGTGGGGAGTTACACCTTATTTCATTGAGAGTGCAGTATCTACAGAAATTATTTGTAATTATTCTGCATAGGATATTTATCTTTTCTCTTCCAATCACTCATTCCTTCATTCATTTATAATACTATGGATTCATGGATATCTATTTATACTTCAGGTGGTTTTAATCTAGTACTACATTATTTATTTATTTATTATTTGTTCAAAATGTTAGAGCTTTTGCCATTGAGCTCTTTTGGTTGGTTTCTGTGTGCCTTTGGTAGAACCTCATCATTTTGGTTCTTAAGTACTTCCTTACTTTCTGACAGTAAAATATGCTGGATTCTTATTGTATATTCTCTGTTCCAGCCCTAGAATCAGCCTTGTCTCAAGGAGCCCTGGTTCCTTTTATTGGAGAATGGTATTAGAAACCAAGATCTAGGCCCTGGGTGTGCTCATTACTGTGGAGCATCATTGTTTCTGTGTTCTTCCAGGTGACAACTTGGAAGTATACTAACCTGTGTATACATAGCTAACTATAATTATTTCTGCTACATCCGTATTTATATTAAGCTAAATGAGTTCACACTGATGTTTTCAACTCTAATCCAGTAGCATATGGATCAGTCTAGACTTTTCCACTCACTTGTCTGTAACTTTCCACTCCAGCAGTGAGACACTTGGTCCCCAACTCACCATCAAACAGATGTACTTATTTGCTAAATCCCAATATATATGTATAATGGTTTCAGAATTATTAACCTGTACTTCCATGACACAGAACTTTACCAACTGGAATACAGTGCATGTGTACAGTTTCTTTTGTCTTTAGTCTTACAGCTACCATACATTTTTACAGTTACTTAGATTACCTGTTTTGACCCCACTTCCTACAGTGAGATTATATATGTATTTGTAAAGCAGTTAGATTCTTTTGTCATAGTCTAGATTCCATCCTGGCACCCCCAGCCTCCTAAGTGACATTTTAAAATTTGTACATACTCTTCATGCTGTTCTGTGGATTTTGACAAATGCATAACATCATATACTCACCAATACAGTATTATACAGAATTGTTTCACCACCCTAAATTATCTCTTATGCTTCACTTACTCCATTCTCTTCCTCTCTTCCTGAACCTCTGGCAACTACTGACCTGTTTTGTCTTTTTAGTTTTGCTTTTTCTGAAATGTTATATAAATGGAATCATACTGGGAGTAGCATTTTCAGACTGGTTCCTTTCATTTAGTAATATGCATTTAAGAGTCATCCATGTCATTATGTAAATTGGTAGCTTATCCTTTTATTGCTGAATGGCATTCCGTTATGTGGATATACCACCATTTGCTTATCCAGTTTTCTTATCTTAAGAGAGACCAGGGGAGAGCAGAGGGAGAGTGAAAGGGAGAGGCAGACTCCCAGCTGAGCAGAGAGCCTGACATGAGGTTTGATCCCAGGACCCTGAAATCATGACCTGAGCTGAAGGCAGATGCTTAACCCACTGAGCCACCCGGGTGCCCCCTCCATTCACCTATTGAATAACATCTTGGTTGTTTGCTTGCTTCCAGTTTTTTGCAATTATAAGTAAACCTGGTATAAACATTTGTGTGTAATTTTTTGTATGGACTTAATTTTCAAATCAGTTGGAAAAATACCTAGGAGAGTGATTGCTGGTTTATGTGCTATAAACATGTTTAGTGTTATAACTGCCATATTGTTTTCCAAAGTGGCTTTATCATTTTATTCTTGTTAGCAAGGCTTTAAAATTCCTGTTGTTCCATATCCTTGCTAGCAATTGGTATTGCCAGAATTTTTGATTTTAATCATTTTTATAGGTATGTAGTAGTATCTCATAGTTTTAATTTACAGTCTTCAAATGACAAATGATGCTGAACACCTTATATTCTTATTTTCCTTTTTTATATCTTATTTGATGAGGTGTTTAAGGTATTTTGCCCATGTTTGAATTGGGTTGTTGCCTTATTATTGAGTTTTAAGACTTCTTTTTATATTTTGGATACAAGTACTTTATGCTATATGTATTTTGTAAATATTTTCTCCCAGTGCATCAATGTCTTTTTATTCTGTTTTAATAGTGCCTTTCACAGAGCAAGTTTTTAATTTTACTAAGAGTATTTTTAGTAACAATATGTTTTTCTGTGATTTTGCTTTTGGTGGTATATCTAAAGTACAATCACCAAACCCAAGATCATACAGATTTTTCCCTATGTTTTCTTCTAGAAGTTGCATAGTTTTTCATTTTATGTTTAAGGCTGTGGCTCCTTTTGAGTTACTTTTTGTGTAAAATGTGATGTCTGCCTACATTCATTTTTCTGCATATGAACATCCAATTGTTCCAGTTGTTTGTTGGAAAAACTATTCCTTCTCCGTTAAATTACCTTTATACTGTAGTCAAAAATCAGTTGAGTAAATTTGTGTAGGTCTATTTCTGGGCTAACACTGTTGATCTATTTGTTCTTTTACCGATGCTATGCTGTCTTGAATACTGTAGCTTTATATAGTAAGTCAGTCTTGAAGTGGGTAGTACAAGTCTGCCAACTTTCTTCCTTTTCAGAATTGTGTTGGCTATTCTAGGCCCTTTGCCTCTCTATATAAATCTTAGGAGGATGTTCACTGAATTTTAAAAACTAAAAACTAAATTTAAAAAGTTAATCTTTGGAGATGCAGAGTAAATGTGATGCTTTTGAAAATTTTTTCCAGGTGGTTCTTTGAAGCTCTGAAGTATCCTAAATTTTCCAAGGCTAATGTCATCAATGGAATACTCATGACAGTGGTGTTCTTCATCGTACGGATTGTCCCAATACCTCCTTTTTATAGTTACATATATTCCTTGTTAGAAACAGAAGCCTACATAAGGCTTGGATTTTTAATCCAATGTTCCTGGATCTCTACTTGTGTTGTTTTGGATGTGATGAATGTCATGTGGATGATCAAAATTACAAAGGGTTGCATCAAAGTCATCTCTCTCATCAGACAAGAGAAAGCCAAAAGTAGTCTGCAGAATGGAAAACTTGACTAAAGGTGGGCTACTGATAAGCACACTTCATTACTACCCACATTATATCTACTGATAGGATGAATTCTTGGCATGTTCTAGTACTTCTTATTAATTATATTTGTTAACAAGGGTTTCAGTGCTCTTTTTTTTAATCTTTAGAAAAGAGACTAAAACTTAGTTTTTATTCCAAGATTTCTTTTCTGATTTTCTTCTGCATTGTAGCATGGATAAAATCTTAAAGATTTAAATAAAAAATTATACATATAATGGTGAATCTTTTCAGGAATCTGTTAACCTGCATTCGTATTTTTCTCTGTGAAAAGGCAACTGTGCTTATTGGGTGCACTTGGTTTTATGTCATCAGATTTGCTGAAAGATGGAAACTGCTTTTATATGTGTAAATAGCCCTCAACATTTTGTTGTACTGCACTCATTTCCCACTGTGGCTGTCAATACCCGTTTAGGGCTTAATTTCTAAATTGTTGAAATGTTTTCTTTGGCTGTTAGAAATGATGTATTTTTTTGTTTAGATATGCTGTTGTTTATGAGTGATGAAGTATTTTGCTTACTTTGGGAATATTAGTTCAGTCATGGAAATACTTCTTTAATTTTTAAATTTTTCAGATGTCACTTTATTATTTCTATTTTTAACATTTTATCAAAATACTGCTTTTTTAATTTGTAGTAAATCTTAAGACAGATCTTAACAGAGCTCCTTAAGAGACAAATTCCTCTTTCTAAAAATGCATGTTATGTATGACTATTTAGGCTAATAGGAGGAATCATTAAGAAAAAAGCTTTAACACTGCTGTCTCTGTTTCCCTTGTACTTTTTCTGTGAAAAATATATCATTTCTACTTGTAAAACCTCCCCTAAGTTCAGAACCCAACATCATCAGTACCAAAGTGTTATCCAGTGTATATTTGTCATGCTCCTAACATGACATAGGCCTCTTCTTAAGGAGACCAAAACTCCAAAAAGTCAGTATTCACATTTTTACTCACAGTTTACATCCATGCTTGCTTAACCAACATTTTGAGTGCTTTGAATTTCTGTCTTTCCTAAAGGACAGGAAAAAAATAGATAATTTAATCCAAGTATTCCGATCATTAATATCCTTGTCTCATGTGATGATCAATGGCTGGTGACTCTGGTTTTTTGGTTTTGGGTTTTTTGTGTGTGTGTGTATGTGTAAGTATATGTTTGCTTTTTCTTTGATTCTTACAACCCAAATATAGAATTATATAGTTAGCTATTACTGCCTTTATTTATTTTTCTCAAGTACTTGATTTTAATGATTGTTCTTACCTAAGAAAGAAAGAAATTTAATCAGGGATGGCTGCTTGAGTTTAATTGAACCCAAACCAAAAGATCTAATCCACTCAGTTTCTCAGCTGACAGGAGAATGATTCACTTTCACTGTCCATGTTATGATGTTGAAGGGAGGCTGGCTGGATAGATCAGACTTTGATTTGATTTGTTTGATCTGGCTGTCTAATGCAGAGAGAGACTGATAAGTTTTAGAACATTTAAAGAAGGTAATTGAAATCTCAGTCAATAACTCAGTGAGAAAGTCAGATTGATTGGTTTATAGTAGGTACACTTATTTTTGAAAGACTTAATTAAAGTAATGTAAAGTATAGGTATTTGTTTTTAAAGCTACTAATATTACATTGATAATTTGTTACCAAATTTAGTACCTTTGACATCATAGGCACTTAAGTGCATATTGGTTGTTTAGGGGGGGTAGGAAAGCACATGGTTTTATCTTGCTCTTTTCTTGCTCTTTTGCAAGAAAACTGGATTTTTAAAAGGAAAACATTTATATTAGAAAACTATTTTGGAAATTCCTTTAAAAAGAAGCAAAACTTGAAATAAATATTTTTGACTCTTGGGATATTTCTATAGTTTCTGAACACAGATTTTAAACCCACCATCAAAATGAAGACAATATAAAGCAATATATTGCAATGTATCTTAATATAAAACTCACTCATCAGTGAGTTTCCATATAGCAGTTTCAGTTTTTATAGTTGCTATTTCATGCTTAAAACTTTATTTTTACTTTCATTGATAGCACTTTTCATTAGTATAGTTGCTCACAAAACAAGTGTTTAAAATATCCGTGTTTTGAACTAAAGTTCATTATCCCCTTAGTCAGCAATTCTTATTTTATGCTGACTGCATCACAGCTAATTCAACATCCACATTCAATATCCAAAAGTAGAAGCTACATATTTCCTTGTACAACACGCATGAAATGGAAAAGACACTATAAATAAACTGCCATACTACTTCAAGTCAGATCTTTATAGGAGCTATACTTCACTGTTCTGTGATTGTATCCACCTACCTAAGATACAAGGAGTTAAAGACAGAACATGTCATTTATTAAACGATGAATTTTTCATTTATTAAATGAAAAACTTTTGCTAGACATTTTACATATTAAGTATTTTGACTACACAGATTAATTAGAATGATTCTATTAGGCATTCTGAATTTAACAACTATTAAAATATTTGTAGCAAATAAAAGTAAATTGGTATAAATTTTTAAGCAGCTCTATTTTTATAGAAAAAGATTAGTGACAACCTATAACTATAAAGATGTTCTTTGAATGTGCAGTAGTCTAAAAAATAACAATTCTTACAAAAATTTGAAAGTGAATGAAAATCAACTAAATAGCATGCAAGATCATCGATTCTGCATCTGATATTTTGTTTGGGAGAATTTAAAAATTATGAGCTTGAATTTATAGAATTTGCATTCTTGTCTCTGAAATCCTTCTAGTGAGTATTGTTTGCATTTATTTAAAATTCAAAATGAAGTCATATATGAGTGCAAAGAAATTAACTCCTGCATAAGTTGTGTCTTGATACCTTACAGTAGGTTAAGACGCAATTTTTATTCCAGCTGTTTAGTTTTGTTGTTTCATGGGTTAGTGCTATGTTTAGAGAAATAATAATGTCTTCACCATTCCTGAGGGTGACTGATATACCATGGATGCCCCAGTATGACTGTAAAGGTCTAGTTTTAAAAACTTCCTCATTTATAGGTGTTTGAATCAAATTCTTTTCTAAATTTTAATCTGTTTGACTCAACGTTTGGCTGAAGTGTCAGTTTTTAGATTGTACACTTTCTGTGAGGTGCATTGGGTGTTTGGAGAACAGTTCATGGACGTGAAGGGCCAGTTTTATGGTTGGTTACACCATTTGTCATCATGCGTTAGGAACAGTCTTGTTGTGGAGATATCAAGGGGAAAGTGTTGTCATACTCATATTTGTTCTCTTTCATTTTTAAGGGAAATAAACATGTCCTGAAAGGCACTATTAAAATAAATGTTTGAATAAATTTCAGTTTCTAGGTTACTCTTAACTCCAATATGGAAATAAACATACAAATTGGCTTTCAGTGGTTGAGTCTGTCGCTTGAAAATTGAGAAATCCATGTCATTGTTGGCCTCATTGGTTATACTTCATGGAACACTATGTGTTTGTGTGTCTTGGGTTCCAGAAGAAGCAAACTCCTACAATTTTGTCAGAAATGTGGCACAGTGTTTCTCCATTGGTACTATCCAGCACAGCAGCGAGACCCCCCCCTGTGTCTAGAGACCTTGGGCACACACACAAACCACCCAGCCTTAACCACAGCTTGGTTGACCACAGGCACACTAAAGCTCCTGCAAGGGATTTTTCACAAGAAGTACATGGGGTATGTGTGAGAACAGTGAGAAGCCAGCAGCACCTGGAGTTGGAGACGACACGACTGATTTTCCCTTAAAAGGCATGATGCCCCTCCCTCACCTAGAAGTTTTTCTCTGAATCCTTACAGCCCTTCTAACTTGTCCTCCTAACACCCTTAAGATTTTACCAGCACCTCCATCCCTTATGTCAGCACCTTTCAAGATCTTCTTTTGAGGCTTCCCCATACCCATAAGCTTTCTGGTCTATTGTGGCAAACTTCAGAGTTTTCAAGTATGTTCTTCCATTGGGGGGGGGGGAAGCATTGCAGTAAGTTTTAAGTAGAGTTCAGCAAACCATAATTGCCAAGAGGCTATCAGAAGCTATTTAGTATTTAATAATACTTGTTATGAGATGAAACAAGGCTAATAAGGTTCTGGTTTTATTGAGAAACATCTGTAGTCTTTTTGATAAACTGGCTTAGCAGTAAGAGCTTTATATATGTTTCACCGAGGGATTCATTGTAGGCCTGTAAATTATCTAAATGTTCTTTCTTAGCCACCGTGGCAGCTGGACAAATGGATGTAGCTCTGTTATGAGGCTGTTAGGAGGAGGGGCTGCTGGTCTGTGGCAGCATTCCTGAGTCCTGCTCTTTAATTGAGCTGGTTTAGTTATGGTCATGTTTCTTTTAACTTACCAGCAAGTGGATTACTCAGCACGTTTTACGAATGCAACACCCAAGGACTTGAGCCCTATCCCTTTCTAGCTCAGACCTCAAACTGCCCCTACCAGCCTTGGTAGTAAGTTGTACCTTTATTTGAAGATATTTGGATAGCAATGGAGAACCGAAGGCTAGCTGCTAAAGATTGGTTTGTATGCATTGAAAATGTTTACACTGGCTCCCTTGTTGGTTACACCATAAACCATTTGTTTGCATTGAAAATGTCTACAGCAAACTAGACAGTTTTGGTATCAGGCCCTATATTTAAAACCAAAAACAATGAGAAGTATTTCTAAATCTTGAAGATACAATACCTCTGGCTGAAAACTTGTTTAACCATCATCTGTATATTTTTTTTCTTTCTGTCTTTTCATAATTCTGTAATTAAGTGTGCATTAGATATTTGCTACTTCTTGGTTAATGAAGCCTAAAATATAACTGTAAATAAAATATGCCATATATTTTTCTGTTTCTTGCTTGGTTTGCTTTGATTATAATTATGTCTGCTTTTTACTTAAGGAATTTTTGCACAGATAATACTCTTGTTACTTACTTGTAACTAGGATGCGTTATGAGGTTTTTTGGGTAATTATTAGAATTTGTAATAACTTTTAGACATAGATTTCATTTGAAAAAGCCGCTTGAAAATTGCAGCAAATGTGATAGCTCTAGTGATATACACATTTTTTTTCTGGGAATATACAACCTTACTATTTAATTGTTATAAAGATTTTGGAAGTCTTTCAAAATACATTTAATATTTTGAGAACACATCTCCTAATTTATTTCTGTAAGGCTGAATGAAGAACTTTGTCTTATTTACAAAATGTGAGACTTGGTAATTTATAAATCAGTGTTACTCAGATTTATCAGCAATTAAAATAGCAATTTAGTATTCTTGGTCTCTGTGCTTAATTTGAATGGGATTAATGAATATCTCTAGGTAATTTCCTTAAAATTTAAAAATGTCTGTATTCTTTGTATGTGTGTCAGTTTAAAGTATATGCAAGTTCTAAGCAATAATCTGCATGTTCTACAAGGTTGGCATTCCTTTGTCCTGACATTTTATTTAATATTAATTTAAGAATATGTATAAAATCAGTCCTAAATATATAAATCATCCCTCCTCCCAATGAAAATCTTGAGATTTTCCTGTGTTAGAACACTAAT